TCCGCAGCATATGCCTGTGCTTAACACGTTCTCTCTGACCCACTTTTGGGACGTCTCAACAGACATCCGCAGCATATGCCTGTGCTTAACACGTTCTCTCTGACCCACGTTTGGGACGTCTCAACAGACATCCGCAGCATATGCCTGTGCTTAACACGTTCTCTCTGACCCACGTTTGGGACGTCTCAACAGACATCCGCAGCATATGCCTGTGCTTAACACGTTCTCTCTGACCCACGTTTGGGACGTCTCAACAGACATCCGCAGCATATGCCTGTGCTTAACACGTTCACTCTGACCCACGTTTGGGACGTCTCAACAGACATCAGCAGCATATGCCTGTGCTTAACACGTTCTCTCTGACCCACTTTTGGGACGTCTCAAAAGACATCCGCAGCATATGCCTGTGCTTAACACGTTCTCTCTGACCCACTTTTGGGACGTCTCAAAAGACATCCGCAGCATATGCCTGTGCTTAACACGTTCTCTCTGACCCACTTTTGGGACGTCTCAAAAGACATCCGCAGCATATGCCTGTGCTTAACACGTTCTCTCTGACCAACGTTTGGGACGTCTCAACAGACATCCGCAGCATATGCCTGTGCTTAACACGTTCTCTCTGACCCACTTTTGGGACGTCTCAAAAGACATCCGCAGCATATGCCTGTGCTTAACACGTTCTCTCTGACCCACTTTTGGGACGTCTCAAAAGACATCCGCAGCATATGCCTGTGCTTAACATGTTCTCTCTGACCCACTTTTGGGACGTCTCAAAAGAAATCCGCAGCATATGCCTGTGCTTAACACGTTCTCTCTGACCCACTTTTGGGACGTCTCAACAGACATCCGCAGCATATGCCTGTGCTTAACACGTTCTCTCTGACCCACGTTTGGGACGTCTCAACAGACATCCGCAGCATATGCCTGTGCTTAACACGTTCTCTCTGACCCACTTTTGGGACGTCTCAAAAGACATCCGCAGCATATGCCTGTGCTTAACACGTTCTCTCTGACCCACTTTTGGGACGTCTCAAAAGACATCCGCAGCATATGCCTGTGCTTAACACGTTCTCTCTGACCCACTTTTGGGACGTCTCAACAGACATCCGCAGCATATGCCTGTGCTTAACACGTTCTCTCTGACCCACTTTTGGGACGTCTCAAAAGACATCCGCAGCATATGCCTGTGCTTAACACGTTCTCTCTGACCCACTTTTGGGACGTCTCAAAAGACATCCGCAGCATATGCCTGTGCTTAACACGTTCTCTCTGACCCACTTTTGGGACGTCTCAACAGACATCCGCAGCATATGCCTGTGCTTAACACGTTCTCTCTGACCCACGTTTGGGACGTCTCAACAGACATCCGCAGCATATGCCTGTGCTTAACACGTTCTCTCTGACCCACGTTTGGGACGTCTCAACAGACATCCGCAGCATATGCCTGTGCTTAACACGTTCTCTCTGACCCACGTTTGGGACGTCTCAACAGACATCCGCAGCATATGCCTGTGCTTAACACGTTCTCTCTGACCCACGTTTGGGACGTCTCAACAGACATCCGCAGCATATGCCTGTGCTTAACACGTTCTCTCTGACCCACTTTTGGGACGTCTCAAAAGACATCCGCAGCATATGCCTGTGCTTAACACGTTCTCTCTGACCCACTTTTGGGACGTCTCAAAAGACATCCGCAGCATATGCCTGTGCTTAACACGTTCTCTCTGACCCACTTTTGGGACGTCTCAAAAGACATCCGCAGCATATGCCTGTGCTTAACACGTTCTCTCTGACCCACTTTTGGGACGTCTCAACAGACATCCGCAGCATATGCCTGTGCTTAACACGTTCTCTCTGACCCACTTTTGGGACGTCTCAAAAGACATCCGCAGCATATGCCTGTGCTTAACACGTTCTCTCTGACCCACGTTTGGGACGTCTCAAAAGACATCCGCAGCATATGCCTGTGCTTAACACGTTCTCTCTGACCCACTTTTGGGACGTCTCAAAAGACATCCGCAGCATATGCCTGTGCTTAACACGTTCTCTCTGACCCACTTTTGGGACGTCTCAAAAGACATCCGCAGCATATGCCTGTGCTTAACACGTTCTCTCTGACCCACTTTTGGGACGTCTCAACAGACATCCGCAGCATATGCCTGTGCTTAACACGTTCTCTCTGACCCACGTTTGGGACGTCTCAACAGACATCCGCAGCATATGCCTGTGCTTAACACGTTCTCTCTGACCCACGTTTGGGACGTCTCAACAGACATCCGCAGCATATGCCTGTGCTTAACACGTTCTCTCTGACCCACGTTTGGGACGTCTCAACAGACATCCGCAGCATATGCCTGTGCTTAACACGTTCTCTCTGACCCACGTTTGGGACGTCTCAACAGACATCCGCAGCATATGCCTGTGCTTAACACGTTCTCTCTGACCCACTTTTGGGACGTCTCAACAGACATCCGCAGCATATGCCTGTGCTTAACACGTTCTCTCTGACCCACTTTTGGGACGTCTCAAAAGACATCCGCAGCATATGCCTGTGCTTAACACGTTCTCTCTGACCCACTTTTGGGACGTCTCAAAAGACATCCGCAGCATATGCCTGTGCTTAACACGTTCTCTCTGACCCACTTTTGGGACGTCTCAACAGACATCCGCAGCATATGCCTGTGCTTAACACGTTCTCTCTGACCCACTTTTGGGACGTCTCAAAAGACATCCGCAGCATATGCCTGTGCTTAACACGTTCTCTCTGACCCACTTTTGGGACGTCTCAAAAGACATCCGCAGCATATGCCTGTGCTTAACACGTTCTCTCTGACCCACTTTTGGGACGTCTCAACAGACATCCGCAGCATATGCCTGTGCTTAACACGTTCTCTCTGACCCACTTTTGGGACGTCTCAAAAGACATCCGCAGCATATGCCTGTGCTTAACACGTTCTCTCTGACCCACGTTTGGGACGTCTCAAAAGACATCCGCAGCATATGCCTGTGCTTAACACGTTCTCTCTGACCCACTTTTGGGACGTCTCAAAAGACATCCGCAGCATATGCCTGTGCTTAACACGTTCTCTCTGACCCACTTTTGGGACGTCTCAAAAGACATCCGCAGCATATGCCTGTGCTTAACACGTTCTCTCTGACCCACTTTTGGGACGTCTCAACAGACATCCGCAGCATATGCCTGTGCTTAACACGTTCTCTCTGACCCACGTTTGGGACGTCTCAACAGACATCCGCAGCATATGCCTGTGCTTAACACGTTCTCTCTGACCCACGTTTGGGACGTCTCAACAGACATCCGCAGCATATGCCTGTGCTTAACACGTTCTCTCTGACCCACGTTTGGGACGTCTCAACAGACATCCGCAGCATATGCCTGTGCTTAACACGTTCTCTCTGACCCACTTTTGGGACGTCTCAACAGACATCCGCAGCATATGCCTGTGCTTAACACGTTCTCTCTGACCCACTTTTGGGACGTCTCAACAGACATCCGCAGCATATGCCTGTGCTTAACACGTTCTCTCTGACCCACTTTTGGGACGTCTCAACAGACATCCGCAGCATATGCCTGTGCTTAACACGTTCTCTCTGACCCACTTTTGGGACGTCTCAACAGACATCCGCAGCATATGCCTGTGCTTAACACGTTCTCTCTGACCCACTTTTGGGACGTCTCAAAAGACATCCGCAGCATATGCCTGTGCTTAACACGTTCTCTCTGACCCACTTTTGGGACGTCTCAAAAGACATCCGCAGCATATGCCTGTGCTTAACACGTTCTCTCTGACCCACTTTTGGGACGTCTCAACAGACATCCGCAGCATATGCCTGTGCTTAACACGTTCTCTCTGACCCACTTTTGGGACGTCTCAAAAGACATCCGCAGCATATGCCTGTGCTTAACACGTTCTCTCTGACCCACTTTTGGGACGTCTCAAAAGACATCCGCAGCATATGCCTGTGCTTAACACGTTCTCTCTGACCCACGTTTGGGACGTCTCAAAAGACATCCGCAGCATATGCCTGTGCTTAACACGTTCTCTCTGACCCACTTTTGGGACGTCTCAACAGACATCCGCAGCATATGCCTGTGCTTAACACGTTCTCTCTGACCCACGTTTGGGACGTCTCAAAAGACATCCGCAGCATATGCCTGTGCTTAACACGTTCTCTCTGACCCACGTTTGGGACGTCTCAAAAGACATCCGCAGCATATGCCTGTGCTTAACACGTTCTCTCTGACCCACGTTTGGGACGTCTCAAAAGACATCCGCAGCATATGCCTGTGCTTAACACGTTCTCTCTGACCCACTTTTGGGACGTCTCAAAAGACATCCGCAGCATATGCCTGTGCTTAACACGTTCTCTCTGACCCACTTTTGGGACGTCTCAAAAGACATCCGCAGCATATGCCTGTGCTTAACACGTTCTCTCTGACCCACTTTTGGGACGTCTCAACAGACATCCGCAGCATATGCCTGTGCTTAACACGTTCTCTCTGACCCACTTTTGGGACGTCTCAACAGACATCCGCAGCATATGCCTGTGCTTAACACGTTCTCTCTGACCCACGTTTGGGACGTCTCAAAAGACATCCGCAGCATATGCCTGTGCTTAACACGTTCTCTCTGACCCACGTTTGGGACGTCTCAAAAGACATCCGCAGCATATGCCTGTGCTTAACACGACCTGACCCGTCTAGCATTGCTGAGAAGAATGTACACGCACCTCTGACCGGCTCGGCCCGGTAACACGCACCCGCCTGTAACACGTCCTGCGGGCGAAAGAGCACATCGGCATCACCGGGAACAGAAGCTCTGGGGGCACACACACGCACAGCTGGCACGCACACTAACTAACCTCTGACCAGCTCGGCCCGGTAACAGGCACCCGCCCGTAACACGTCCTGCGGGCGAAAGATCACATCGGCATCATCACCACCATCACGGGTCACACCTCTCTCACACGCACTCACTCACCCCTGACTGGCTCAGCACGGTAGCAAGCCCCCGCCTCTAACACGTCCTGCGGGCGAAAGATCACATCGGCATCATCGGCGGCCCCGGGAGCAGCAGCGCTGGCACCATCACCACCATGCGTTGCGGTGGTGCGTGCATGACTGCTTGTGTGAGGTTGAGTGTGACGTTGAGTGTGAGGGTGAGTGACGAGGAAGTAACGGCGGCCGTCGCAGAGGGTGGGATGTCGGCGCCACAGCTGCTGCAGGGTTGTGCCTCCTGGGACCTCCTCAATGCGCCCGTCACATGCTATGCGAGCGAAGGTGGAGGGAACACGAGAGAGCGCGAGTGGACAAGAAGGGGAGGGAACATGAGCATGCAGACGGTGGGGTGTCGCCTGGTACCTCCTCGGTGCGCCCGTCACACGCTATTCTAGTGAACCTGGGGAGCACAAGGGAGAGGGAGAGGGAACAGGACGGGGAGGGAATGAGAGTGGGGTGTCGGCGCCACAGCTGCTGCAGCGTGGTGCCTCCTGGGACCTCTTCGGTACGCCCGTCACATGCTATTCAAGCAAACCTAAGGAGCAGGAGAGCAGGAGAGCAGGAGAGCAGGGAGCAGGAGAGCAGGAGATAAATGCAAGCTGTTGGAGGCGCCTCAACAGCCCGTCACCCAACTCACGAGAGCGATGCGAATGCGAGGTGAGAAGACATGGAGTGCTCCGCGCTCTCCCCCTCCTCTCCCCCTCCTCCCATCCCCTTGCCCCTCCCTGCTCCTCCTCCTCCTCCTGTTCCCGAGTGCTCTGGCCCTGCAAGAGGGGTTGAAACATGGGAAGGAGAGAAAGCGAGTTTCATGTCATCTCAAAAGTCTGCTCCCGAGTGCTCTGGCCCTGCAAGAGGGGTTGAACATAACATGCAGAGAAAGCGACATGCAAAGACTCTAAGCCCCACCACTCACCCAACCAGCAGCAGTGCGCATAGTATCTCAGCCCCGCTCTCAGCCAGCCTGTCTCCCCCCCATCAACCACCCCTCATCAACCACCCCCCATCAACCAATCCCCAAGTCACCCCTCTAAAGGGCTCATCCAGCCAGCAGTGCGCGCGGTATCTCAGCCCTTCTCTCAGTGGCTCAGCCTGTCTCCCCCCCATCAACCAACCCCCATGTGCCCCCTTTCACAGACTCACCCAGCCAGCAGTGCGCACAGTATCTCAGCCCCGCCCTCAGCCTGTCCCATCCCCATCAACCAGACCCCACATCCCACCCATCCCCATCAACCAGACCCCACATCCCACCCATCCCCATCAACCAGACCCCACATCCCACCCATCCCCATAGTCTCTTATCACCTTTCTTACAGCCCCACCACCACTCACCCAGCCAGCAGTGCGCGCGGTACCTCAACCCCGCCCTCAGCCTGTCTCCCCCCCGAAACAGGACCTCAACCTTAGCACTCGCGCGCTCCACCCCCCCCGCTCCGCCTCCGCGGCCCCCCGCGAAACCCCCCTTGCCCCCACCCGTCTCCCCCCGCAGCCGCGTGGTCAGGAAGTACCGCCGCCCCGAGCCTAGCAGGTCCGGCCGAGCCTCCCAGATCTCCGCCAGGGTAGCATTGGGCCGAGCCAAGACCCCGAGCGTCCCTGGCACGTGGATATGCACGTGCCTGCAGGAAGGGAAGGGGAGTGGGGAGGGGGGTGGAAGAGAGGAACAAAGGATGGTGAGTGAAAAAGCCCAGAACCCAGCACGGCTGGTGTTGTTGATGGGTAAGGGCGTGAGACCCAAGTGTCTAGAGCCAAAACCCCGAGCGTCCCCCGCACGTGGATACGCACGTGCCTGCAGGAAGGGAAGGGGAGTGGGGAGAATGGGGGGGAGGCGAGTAAGGGGAGGGAGAAAGAAAAGGTGGGACCTAGTTATCGTTTCGACCAGTCTATTAATTACTACCTTTCCCAAAGCGCCTTACTCTTCTCCCTTAAGGTCCGGCCGGCCCATCCAATCGCTCGACACAGCGCGAACCACGCCGTCCGTCGCGCCGCCAGTCGCAGCGTGCTTCTCGCCGCCAGTTGCGCCGCCATCGGACCGCTCAGCACCGACAATTGCGCCGGGTTTCCCGGCAGGTGACGGATTTTGAGGCTCGCGGTCCGGCGCCGGCTGAACCTGCGCCTTCCGCCGAAAGAAGTTCATAGCTTAGAAGGAAGACTGGCTTGGAACAATACTGGCTTAGGAACAGTACTGAGAATTTTCTGAAGTTGGTCGCATAGTAAGAAGACCTTCAATTATAGCAGGGCAGGTCGGAATGCATATCACATTCCGAAGCGCGTTTTGGGTGGACCAAAGCAAACTTGCTCACAACGAAGGGATTTCGAAACCGCAATGGCGTGAACCGCAATCAACTCTGACCTTACTGCTGCGTAGCAATCTGTAGCCTCACTATGGCATGCATGTTCTAAAGAAACTCGATGCGTGGTCTTGTGCATCGAGTTGCCTAGTAGGTATTAGTGCAAGTCCAGTGTCAAGACCTGCTTTTAGTTGCCTCGCGAATGTCATATGGAAGGTATATATGTGGCTATGCCGAAATTATGATTCTGTCTGACACAAAGTACCAGACTGACAGTTCCCGCCAGTTCCTCGCACACGCGCTATGCTCAGTCGTTTAGCGCACCACGCAATAGGGGCGAGCTGTCAATAACGGAGTATTGGTGTAGAACAAGGTGTTCCGAATCTCATTACACATCAAACCTCATAAAAATTATCAGTATTTGTTTTGAAGGTTCTGGACTTCTTTCTGTTACAGCGTAGGATGGCAGCGTGGTTGAGTCCGTCATCCACACGCGCTATGTTTTAGTACAGTAACGTAATGTGTCTCAAAACGGTCAATGTGGAAAGGAAAGATGCTTCCACGTAAGGGCGTGTAAAATCGGCAGACACAAATATTCGGCCACAAAGCCGACTGGCCGAATTGGCGAAAGTAACACATTCACGAAATTAATGAGCTCCGTTGCGAAAGTCGCAAATTTCGCGAATGTCATGCGAATTTGATGGCCGTAAAAGTGGTCGACTCGACTTTCAACATCGAGTCGACTCGAAACCAGCCACGTTCCCGCCCCGTCGTTGCGACGTTGACAGCAGGTGTCGCAAGACTCCGCATGCGACGCCAAACAGAAACCACGTTCACGTCACCACCGCACGTACACAACGTCTGGACAGGCTCAAATGCACAGCGCACCAATTTCAGGTGCGCTGCGTCTTTGCCCATGCGCTAAATGTGCGTTGCTGACCCCTGTGTGAACGGAGCCGCGGTAGCAATGTTCAGGCCGTGGTCGAGCTTGGAGTGGCGTTCCAATATCGGGTGCACATGTGCGACTCCGTCGCACAATTCGGCCATTTGAAAGTTTACAACTTCCTGGAGTCGGCCAGCAATTCGCTCTGGAAAGTTGTAAAATTTGCAGACTTGCAAATACTGGCCAGTTATTGGCCGACCCTGATTCGGCCATCTGGTCGACATGTGCGAAAGAAGTGTCGACCATTTGGACGACAAAATCCTGTTGAAATATATTTCTTATATAAACTGCTTGTAGCAGTAGTTAGTGTAGTGTTACATTGTTTGGTGGTGCACCTTGCTTGCTTTGCCTATATCCTTGTACCTTCTCTCTTTATTGAACTCCTTTTCTCCTTTGGAACTCTATCGACATCCCACTTCAACCCTAAACCTAATCTCCTAAGCTACTCTAGCCATGGCTCCTAAGCCTAACTAGCTTTAGCTCTTTGACATGGTATCAGAGCAGGTCCGTTCTTAAGGACCTCGTTAATTTTATTTCGCCATGGCTGCCCTCGTTGCCATGGCGATCGTTGCAGCGCCCTTCGAGGCGCTCGCCCGGTGCCTGCCCCGCACTGCTCGCCCCGTGCTACCCGCCCCACGCGCTGGTCGCCCCGTCCCGCGCACTGTCGCGTCGCCCCGCCGCTGGTCGCGGACGCCAGCGCCAGCGCCTCCGACCGTCGCGAACGCCAGCGCCAGCGCCAGCGACGTGCGCCAGCGCCAGCGACTGTCGCGAGCGCCAGCACCAGCGCCAGCGCCAGCGCCGGTCACCAGCGCCACCGCCAGCGTTAGCGCCAGCGACATGCGCGAGCACCGGTCGCGAGCGCCAGCACCAGCAGCAGCCGCCTGCGACCCCGCCATCGCCACCCCGCTCCCCGCCTCCGCGCCTGCTGCCGCCCTCTTCTACGGGGGACATTGCGGGGGGGAGGTGGCAGGGCGGGTGGTGGGCCCATACACAGGAAGGCGGCAGACATGCCGCCCTCTGATACCATGTCAAATATAGGAGGAGTACGGCCTAGGCTTAGTAGCCTAGGCCACAGTAGGACTAGAACGGAGGAGGCGCCAAGTACAAGCTAGGCACGTGTGCACGAACAGAATTGAGAAGGGATGATTGAACTAGCAAGCAGCAGGATACAAATAGCGAACCCTAAGGGGCTGTACTCACTATTGAGTGCCCCACTGCAGGCTACACAAACAACATATTCTGACAAATCCCAGCCAAACCCAATTTTTCAAAATGCTCGCCGATTTTACACGCCCTAACGTGCGCTTACAGACGTCGTCGGCGTGAAGAAGTGCTGCAGATGTGTGCACCAGACAACCAAGCTCATTGCTGCAGCCGTTTCGTTACACTCTCCTGTGAGTGTTTTCGTCGGCCACCGAGTTTTTGAATATTGTTTGTACACCCAATATGGGTACACCTCCACCAATTTGGTGTCCCTCCTCCTTGCAGCATGATTCTCCAGCACACTTTCGAACTTCCGGAAATTGCAATAACGGGCAGTCTGCGACTCAAATATGTGATTGACTTTCCCAGCCGCATTTCACGCTCTGGCTGTCGTTTGTGCTTTGCTGGGGAAAATGTTGCTGATGACAACGGACTCCAACTTGGCACGTCTCTCGGCTCGGGCAGGTGTACAGCTTCAACACACAAGCATTTCTCCCCTTCAACTGTGTGTATGGACTGAAATGAAAGGCAGCTGAATATAATCTGTACATTTTTAAGTGGAAGAAGAATACAACACGTACAGTACAGAAATACACTGTGATGCAGCACTCAAGCGTACTGTAGTCGGGCATTCGACGACTTACATCGTGCATTTGTCTTGTCGAAGTCATGGAATCCACAATGCCAACCTGGTGGTGTCGAGACAAGAGCAGTACGTGCGATGCGATGCAATGGGGTCATCGATTACAGTTCCATCCAGAAGTCTCCTTTCCTCCTCCCCCCACAGTTGACATATCGGGCGGATTCAGCTTTCCTTGCTCCGATATTCCAAGGTCTCATTTCCCGTCAACTGTTCAGTTTCGTCCGTTTTCTGCACAACTGCTAGTTGGCGCTGCCAGTCAATGGTGAAATGTGGAGAAGCACGCCTCGGCTCGGTGGAATTCAAGAGTGTGTTTCTCAACCTCCCGCGTCATGTCCGTCAGGTCTGGTGTCAGCGGAACGCGCAAATCGCGGTTGAAGTGACAGGACACGTTGCGCCCAATACAGTGTATACCCCTCCTCCCCTTCCCCTCCTCTGTTGAACCGTCCACTGGCTGACGTGGCGAGCTCGCGAATTCGCAAATGCCCGTTTCGTTTTCGCACCGTCCATTTCCCCCCTTGCGGCAGTCGTCGTTTTCCTCTCGTTTTGGCACCTGCAGAACCCTCTTTCGCCATCCACGCTTTCGCCATTTCCGCCTTCCCATCTTCCTGTAACAGAATACAGTGCAGGCAGACGAGCACAGTCGACAAAAAAAAGCAGCACTTACACGTTTCATCGCCGATGCTTGTAAGGTTACAATTTGTGACCCACCGACCCATTCTCGTTTTGGCTGGCTAACTCCGATTGGCTGCGACGTTTTCATCTGCCTCCCCTTCCCTCCACTCCACACACCAGTTTCCCGCCGACCGCAGCAGCCCCACCTCCCGTGGCCTGTACAGCACGTTACGTTCGTTGGCTGCAGTATGTGGGGACCTTTGCATCAACGTGCCCACCACCTCCCGTCAGTTTAGGAATCTGGTGTTGACAAAACGAACAAGGCCCTTTTGTGCTGATACATACACAGGTCCCTCACTCACAGAGAGTCCCTTCTGAGTTCAAGAGTCTTGACTCGGATCCTCCCGACCCGATTCCTCCTAATGCATTCAGAATCCGAATTTTTCCTCCTAGCTCACAAAGGTGTAACTGCGTGCAGACCAGTGCGGCTCCGTGGTTGTCGTCGTCGTCGTTTGCGCATGCATAGATGCCGTACCCCACCAACCTGCACCATAAGAATACCCACTGCACCGCATTCTACCCCACTCCACTCTATCAACGCCTCACTGACTTTTCAGCCATGCATTGGTCACCCATCACCACCGACAGCCCCTTCCAGGTTTCTTCTCGAAACTGTTGCAACGACCTTCCGACAGGACGGACAGGACGTCTCAGCAGGGGCTGTCCTGAAAGTTGCTCTCAGAAGCTCACAGCAGCAGCCTCGGTGCAACTTTTGGGGCAGGCTTCGCGCATTTGTAACGAAGATCCTTCTTGGGTCCCCCGGCCAGTCCCCGGCCCGCCCCGTCCCGTCTCCTCCCATCTCCGATCTGCAGCTTAGAAGAATGCCTGGAAGACACCCCGCAGATCCGCCAACTCTCCAGCATCGTGTACTAAAAGCACGAGAGGCACCAGACATTTTCATTCCTATGCTCTTAGACTCGAGCTTGCGCCTTTATACTTCACTATTCCTCGATCGATTTGTAGTATTCGTCTCTCAAGAAAATCGCAAGTTTCCCGTCCTCCCTTGATCTTAAATAGCTGTATCAAGACGACTCGACTAGCTGAGAAAGCATTCCAGCTCTGCGACATCAAAACCCAGACCTTGATAGTAAGCGGTATCCGACTCCCCAATCTGCTCTCCTGTTCCAGCGCGAACCTCGGAAACAGCTTAGTAACACGCAAGGATATTCGTTTTGAACGCCTATTGAGTTATTCTAGCATGGCTTTGGCTGCTCGATCACCCTCTGACGGCCTGCTAGCCGGCAAATCTGCCGGCCGGCGCGCTCTGCCGGTGCTCCGTCAGGCCCCCGTTTCGCTCCTCTGCGCCGTCGACTCCGCCGCGTCCAAGCGAGTGGGCTTCCACGAAGCTTCCAACTCCGCGGTCTTTAAAGCCAAGACCAGCCTATCAGCGGCGGACTTGCTCATGCTTCTCAGCCCCACGGTAGCAAGCTCCGCGAATATCGGCGCGATCAACGGCGGACCGTACGCCTGCCGCGAGTGCTCCAACAAGTTCCCGTCGCTACACTCTCTTGACTTCCACTACCAGACGTACCACACTATGGACAAGAAAAACCGCCCGCCGGTTGTCCACCCGGTGGGCGGCAGCAACGACAGCGCGGAACCTGCCGGAAGCGGCTCCGCCGCGCCGAGCAAGAGCGGCACGTTGCCGCCCCCGCGGGTTGCGGGCCGTTGTGCGCACGTGGCGGCGTCGCAAGAAACGCTGGGGGAATCTGGAAGCGCCGCCAGCGCCGCGGCAGCGTCGCAGAGCCTGGGTCGATCGCCGTCGCTCTCGCCGTCGCCGTCTGCGACTACGGTTCCGTCGCCTGGCGATGTCGCCGTGGGTGCGATGGCTACGGCGACCGGCGCTACAAAATCATCGTCGCAGCAGCGGCGTGGCGCGAAACGGAGCCGCGCCGACAGCCAGCCGAGCGGGGCGAATACGTCGGCACCTTCCACGAAAAGGGGCGGCAGGCGCTGCGGCGGTGTTACTTCTGAGAAGTTTCCTGGGCGCGTGACGGAGCTCGGCGGCTGCGCCGCAGGGGCTCAGATCGCGACAGTGGATGCCGGCCGAGCAGAGTCGATTAAAGTGGAGTCGCAGCGACTCGGCCGTCCCGGAATCGCGGGGAAGAAGTGGCAGCCGCCGAGTGTTCTTGTAACGGGCGGAGCTAAGTCTGTGGGTGACGTCGGTCGCGACGGAGGCGCGCTTACTCCGTCGGACACGTCAGCTCTGCAGCCACGTCGGGTCGGCGCGCTCGCAGGGTCCTGCCTGACCCTGACGGATCGAATGAACTCGCTGACGTCATCACTGACGGACCTGACGGCCGCGGGGAGCAATCCGGTTAGCCCGACGACCCCGACCAACGTGGCTCTGTTTGGGGGAGCTTCTTGCGGCGCCGCGAATGGCGGCGGTTTCAATGGCAAGGCTGCGGCGCAGGCGTCTCAGCTGCAGCAGCTGATGGCTCTGGTGATGCAGGAGCAGGAGAAGCGGGGGAGACTTGTGCGGAAAACGGAACACACTGTAACGGAGCACACTGTAACGGAGCACACTGCAACGGAGCAGAGAGTTGAGCGGCCTGAGCACCACTGCCTGCAGCCCCAACGGTCAGTGGCAGCATCAGATGCTAAGGGAGTTACCTCCTTAAATGCACTAAGGTCCATGCAGCCTCCTAATGCAACCAGCACCTGTCAAGCACAAAAGCCCTCACCTGCGAATCCACTCGCCACAGTTCGTCAGGTGGTAACCAATGCAACCCCCGGCATGCCTGGTGCCGATTCCCCATCGTTTCCTGCTCTGGCTCGTGCTGACGGGAGGCAGGGACCTGGTGACGTGGCAGGAAGCCAGCTCAGCATGCTGGTGGCTGTGCTGGCATCAAGGCTTGGTCAGCAGAAGGCACCAGTAGTAACAGGAGGAGAGGGAGCAGTAACTGCTCAGCAGTGTGGGGAGATGGAGCTGTTGAAATGTGTCAAGGGGCAAGGAATTGCAGGGCCTGCTGCTATGGTGCAATGCAGAGAGGTAGACTTGAGTCTTCGACTGTAAATCTTACTGATTGTAGTATGTCAGTGAGTATTTTATGTGTACAGCCCTGCACAGTTGTCTGTTCCATACTTGTAATACCGTAGAACCCCTATCTAACTCAGTGCTGTTTTCCAAAAGGAGATGGGGTTTGAGAGCAAGAACTAGAGGTGTGCCCAATGAATGCACACCAGGCAACATATGGAGATAGCGTAGTGTGCGCAGCCCCTCAGATTCAAGCATTTTTTACCTGGGAGGATTAGGATGCTAACTTGCATTGGATCAGCTAAAAGCAAACATAGGGAATTAACACTTGATTAAGATCAAATGTGGTACAAAAAGCACATTTAGGAAGTCAGCACTCAAGTACATAATCACATGCAGTGCAAAAACATGGATGAAAAGCGCTCCCAGGTGGGCTCGAACCACCGACCTTATGGTTAACAGCCATACGCTCTAACCAACTGAGCTACGAGAGCTGCATACCTATTAATATTTTTTTTTATATATTTATTATGTGCTCTCTTGCACTTTTTTCAAGTCTTCAACCGCATTCTGCACTGCCTAGCAATGACGACAGCAGAAGTCGGAATTGTCGAGTTCCTAGACGCCACAAGCGAGAAACATGGCGGAAATCACGGGGGTAAAGGAAAGAAACGGCAGCGGAAGCAGCTGTCCTCGTCGTCCTCGTTTCTAGACCGCTTCGACAGTGGTAGCGAGGACGAGCAAGAAGGGGGTAAAACTCGTAAGCGCGGCGTTCTCTCGGCCACAAACGGAGACGCTTCTATCGGGGCAGAGGCGACACTAGGGAAGAGAAAAACATTACCGGAAACGGCGGCAGCAGCAGGGTTGTTATTAGACGGAGGTGACACTAACGAGGGGCGAGGTGTAGACGGTCGAGTAGCACAAGGAATAGACTTAGAGGCAGGGCCGTCTGTTGCGCAAAAAGGGGGAGCTGCGGGGGAAAAGCGGAAGGGGGCTTCCGCTGCGCGCAAGGAGAGGGTTAAGGGACAGGGTTTATCGGGATCTCAGGCGGAAGGTTCTAGGGGAGAAGGGTTGGGAGATGAAGAAGAGGGTTTTGCGGAATACATAGAGGAGGATGATGAGGAAAGATCAGGAGAGAGTGATGGAGAGGAGGAGAGTGAGGGAGAGGGGGAGAGTGAGGGAGAGGAGGGAAGTGAAGAGGATGAGTTGAGCGGAAGTGAGAGTGAGGAAGGAGAGGAGGAAGGAGAGGAAGGAGAGGAGGGAGAGGAGGACGACGAGGGGGATGGGGACGGCGCAGGAGCAGCAGGGTCGGGAGCAGCCCCTTCGTCATCTTTCGCAACAGCCTTCGCGAGCATCATGGCGAAGAAGGTCCCTGTTACCGGCAAGGTGCGCGAGAGCAACGGGGTTTCGGGTTTGGGAATTTCCGCCCCTCCTCCTGCCCACTTCCCCCAAGCGCCCATCCTAGCACTCCCCCCGTTCCCCCCCTTATCCCTTCTTAGCTCCCCCCTCCTCCTCCCCCAAATCCTCCCCCAGGCGCCCATCCTAGCAGCGCGCAAGGGGCTCTTGGAGGAGGGAAAGGCGGCGGCAGGGCAAGGTGCTTTATTCTTCCTCTCATGTAGCATTTTCCTTGTTGCTGCTCCCCTCTCCTTGTTGCTTCCCTCTCCCCCAGGCGCCCATCCTAGCAGCGCGCAAGAAGCTGCTGGAGGAGGGGAAGGCGGCGGCAGGGGAGGCGAAGGCCAAGGCAGCGTCAGCAGCTGAGAGGAAACAGGCGAAGATGATGGTGAGTTTGCTGTTCCTTCTTTTATGGAACATGGTGTGAGGAAGGGGAAGGGGGAATGAGAAGGCGGCGGCAGGGGAGGCGAAGGCCAAAGCAGCATCAGCAGCTGAGAGGAAACACGTGAAGATGATGGTGAGTGGAGGGGTGATGCCAGGGTGAGAAGAAGGTGAGAAGGGAAGGCGGCGGCGGGAGAGGCGAAGGCCAAGGCAGCGTCGGCAGCTGAGAGGAAGCAGGCAAAGCTGATGGTGAGTAGAGGGGTGAGGGGGATTGGTTGTTGGGGCGCCCTTAGAAGGGGAGGCAAAGGCCAAAGCAGCATCAGCAGCCGAGAGGAAGCAGGCGAAGCTGATGGTGAGTGAGTGGGTGGGGTGCCAGGAATGGTGCCTTGTATCCCGCATGTGCACACCAGGAGAGGGAGATGGCACATGTGCTGCCAGAGCCATTTCACAAGCACCAATCCTCATACCCTTTCCCTTCCTCTTCCTCACCCCCCCAACCTTCCCTTATCCTCATCTCCTTTCCTTTCCCTTTCCTGCATTCCCTTTCCTGCATTCCCTTTCCCCCCCAATCATTCCCTTTCCCCCCCATTCTTTCCCGTCCCACACACCAGGAGAGGGAGATGGCGCATGTGCTGCCAGAGCCGTTTCACTAGCTCCATCCCTCATTCCCTCTCCCCCTCCCCTTCCCCCCCAACCCCTCTCCTCCACCCCCCCTCAACCAGGAGAGGGAGATGGCGCATGTGCTGCCAGAGCCGTTTGTCGGCCCCAAAGAGAAGGCTCTGGTCAAGATTGCGACCAAGGGAGGTGAGAGGTCGCAGATGTTGTGAGGTAGTTACAAAAAGGAAGGTTCTTCCACATGTGCTGCCAGAGCCGTTTGTTGGCCCCAAAGAGAAGGCAGGCTCTGGTCAAGATTGCGACCAAGGGAGGTGAGAGGAATGAGGGAGGTGAGAGGAATGAGGGAGGTGAGAGGAAAGGAATCTTTCCAAAAGTTTGAATGTTCTCAATTAGTGTTGTATTAGTTTGCATGTTTTTCAATTTATTAACGTTTAGCCATTCCTGCTACTGTAGTTCATTCATATTCCCCTCCCACCGTGCAATCCTCTCATTTCTGTCTTGCTTTCATTTCCGATCCATGCCCCTTCCCCCCGTCTTATTCCGATCCACCCCACCCCATGCCATATGATGGCATTCCACCTGCCGGCAACAGTGGTTCGACTTTTCAATGCGGTGCGTCCGTGCGCTTGATCCCATGCCATGCCATGGCATCCCATCCCATCCCATGCCATGCCATGGCATCCCATCCCATCCCATGCCATGCCATGGCATCCCATCCCATCCCATGCCATGCCATGGCATCCCATCCCATCCCATGCCATGCCATGGCATCCCATCCCCCATGCCATGCCATGGCATCCCATCCCATCCCATGCCATGCCATGGCATCCCATCCCATCCCATGCCATGCCATGGCATCCCATCCCATCCCATGCCATGCCATGGCATCCCATCCCATCCCATGCCATGCCATGGCATCCCATCCCATCCCATGCCATGCCATGGCATCCCATCCCATCCCATGCCATGCCATGGCATCCCATCCCATCCCATGCCATGCCATGGCATCCCATCCCATCCCATGCCATGCCATGGCATCCCATCCCATCCCATGCCATGCCATGGCATCCCATCCCATCCCATGCCATGCCATGGCATCCCATCCCATCCCATGCCATGCCATGGCATCCCATCCCATCCCATGCCATGCCATGGCATCCCATCCCATCCCATGCCATGCCATGGCATCCCATCCCATCCCATGCCATGCCATGGCATCCCATCCCATCCCATGCCATGCCATGGCATCCCATCCCATCCCATGCCATGCCATGGCATCCCATCCCATCCCATGCCATGCCATGGCATCCCATCCCATCCCATGCCATGCCATGGCATCCCATCCCATCCCATGCCATGCCATGGCATCCCATCCCATCCCATGCCATGCCATGGCATCCCATCCCATCCCATGCCATGCCATGGCATCCCATCCCATCCCATGCCATGCCATGGCATCCCATCCCATCCCATGCCATGCCATGGCATCCCATCCCATCCCATGCCATGCCATGGCATCCCATCCCATCCCATGCCATGCCATGGCATCCCATCCCATCCCATGCCATGCCATGGCATCCCATCCCATCCCATGCCATGCCATGGCATCCCATCCCATCCCATGCCATGCCATGGCATCCCATCCCATCCCATGCCATGCCATGGCATCCCATCCCATCCCATGCCATGCCATGGCATCCCATCCCATCCCATGCCATGCCATGGCATCCCATCCCATCCCATGCCATGCCATGGCATCCCATCCCATCCCATGCCATGCCATGGCATCCCATCCCATCCCATGCCATGCCATGGCATCCCATCCCATCCCATGCCATGCCATGGCATCCCATCCCATCCCATGCCATGCCATGGCATCCCATCCCATCCCATGCCATGCCATGGCATCCCATCCCATCCCATGCCATGCCATGGCATCCCATCCCATCCCATGCCATGCCATGGCATCCCATCCCATCCCATGCCATGCCATGGCATCCCATCCCATCCCATGCCATGCCATGGCATCCCATCCCATCCCATGCCATGCCATGGCATCCCATCCCATCCCATGCCATGCCATGGCATCCCATCCCATCCCATGCCATGCCATGGCATCCCATCCCATCCCATGCCATGGCATCCATCCCATCCCATGCCATGCCATGGCATCCCATCCCATCCCATGCCATGCCATGGCATCCCATCCCATCCCATGCCATGCCATGGCATCCCATCCCATCCCATGCCATGCCATGGCATCCCATCCCATCCCATGCCATGCCATGGCATCCCATCCCATCCCATGCCATGCCATGGCATCCCATCCCATCCCATGCCATGCCATGGCATCCCATCCCATCCCATGCCATGCCATGGCATCCCATCCCATCCCATGCCATGCCATGGCATCCCATCCCATCCCATGCCATGCCATGGCATCCCATCCCATCCCATGCCATGCCATGGCATCCCATCCCATCCCATGCCATGCCATGGCATCCCATCCCATCCCATGCCATGCCATGGCATCCCATCCCATCCCATGCCATGCCATGGCATCCCATCCCATCCCATGCCATGCCATGGCATCCCATCCCATCCCATGCCATGCCATGGCATCCCATCCCATCCCATGCCATGCCATGGCATCCCATCCCATCCCATGCCATGCCATGGCATCCCATCCCATCCCATGCCATGCCATGGCATCCCATCCCATCCCATGCCATGCCATGGCATCCCATCCCATCCCATGCCATGCCATGGCATCCCATCCCATCCCATGCCATGCCATGGCATCCCATCCCATCCCATGCCATGCCATGGCATCCCATCCCATCCCATGCCATGCCATGGCATCCCATCCCATCCCATGCCATGCCATGGCATCCCATCCCATCCCATGCCATGCCATGGCATCCCATCCCATCCCATGCCATGCCATGGCATCCCATCCCATCCCATGCCATGCCATGGCATCCCATCCCATCCCATGCCATGCCATGGCATCCCATCCCATCCCATGCCATGCCATGGCATCCCATCCCATCCCATGCCATGCCATGGCATCCCATCCCATCCCATGCCATGCCATGGCATCCCATCCCATCCCATGCCATGCCATGGCATCCCATCCCATCCCATGCCATGCCATGGCATCCCATCCCATCCCATGCCATGCCATGGCATCCCATCCCATCCCATGCCATGCCATGGCATCCCATCCCATCCCATGCCATGCCATGGCATCCCATCCCATCCCATGCCATGCCATGGCATCCCATCCCATCCCATGCCATGCCATGGCATCCCATCCCATCCCATGCCATGCCATGGCATCCCATCCCATCCCATGCCATGCCATGGCATCCCATCCCATCCCATGCCATGCCATGGCATCCCATCCCATCCCATGCCATGCCATGGCATCCCATCCCATCCCATGCCATGCCATGGCATCCCATCCCATCCCATGCCATGCCATGGCATCCCATCCCATCCCATGCCATGCCATGGCATCCCATCCCATCCCATGCCATGCCATGGCATCCCATCCCATCCCATGCCATGCCATGGCATCCCATCCCATCCCATGCCATGCCATGGCATCCCATCCCATCCCATGCCATGCCATGGCATCCCATCCCATCCCATGCCATGCCATGGCATCCCATCCCATCCCATGCCATGCCATGGCATCCCATCCCATCCCATGCCATGCCATGGCATCCCATCCCATCCCATGCCATGCCATGGCATCCCATCCCATCCCATGCCATGCCATGGCATCCCATCCCATCCCATGCCATGCCATGGCATCCCATCCCATCCCATGCCATGCCATGGCATCCCATCCCATCCCATGCCATGCCATGGCATCCCATCCCATCCCATGCCATGCCATGGCATCCCATCCCATCCCATGCCATGCCATGGCATCCCATCCCATCCCATGCCATGCCATGGCATCCCATCCCATCCCATGCCATGCCATGGCATCCCATCCCATCCCATGCCATGCCATGGCATCCCATCCCATCCCATGCCATGCCATGGCATCCCATCCCATCCCATGCCATGCCATGGCATCCCATCCCATCCCATGCCATGCCATGGCATCCCATCCCATCCCATGCCATGCCATGGCATCCCATCCCATCCCATGCCATGCCATGGCATCCCATCCCATCCCATGCCATGCCATGGCATCCCATCCCATCCCATGCCATGCCATGGCATCCCATCCCATCCCATGCCATGCCATGGCATCCCATCCCATCCCATGCCATGCCATGGCATCCCATCCCATCCCATGCCATGCCATGGCATCCCATCCCATCCCATGCCATGCCATGGCATCCCATCCCATCCCATGCCATGCCATGGCATCCCATCCCATCCCATGCCATGCCATGGCATCCCATCCCATCCCATGCCATGCCATGGCATCCCATCCCATCCCATGCCATGCCATGGCATCCCATCCCATCCCATGCCATGCCATGGCATCCCATCCCATCCCATGCCATGCCATGGCATCCCATCCCATCCCATGCCATGCCATGGCATCCCATCCCATCCCATGCCATGCCATGGCATCCCATCCCATCCCATGCCATGCCATGGCATCCCATCCCATCCCATGCCATGCCATGGCATCCCATCCCATCCCATGCCATGCCATGGCATCCCATCCCATCCCATGCCATGCCATGGCATCCCATCCCATCCCATGCCATGCCATGGCATCCCATCCCATCCCATGCCATCCCATCCTATCCCATCCCATCATATGCACTCCCCCATGCACACTCAATCTGCCGGCAACAGTGGTTCGGCTCTTCAATGCGGTTCGTCTGTGCGCTTGTCCCTATCCCATGCACTGCCCCATGCACACTCAATCTGCCGGCAACACTCATTTGCAGCCTCCCTTCCACTCACTCCCACCATGCCTGATTCTCCGCATCTTTGTTTCTCTAGATCAGCATCGCAATCACCATCACATTCACCCTCAGAGTTAGACGGATCCTAGTTTGAGGCGCTTCAAAAATAGCTTCTCGCATCTTCGTTTCTCTAGTTCAGCATCAGCATCAGCATCGGCATCAGCATCAGCATCACCCATCAGCATCAGCATCAGCATCAGCATCACCCATCAGCATCAGCATCACCCATCAGCATCAGCATCA